TCATGCTCTGAGCCCTGTTTGGGGTTAGGAGGGAGGCAATCCTCTGAGCACCTGGCCACCCTACGCCCTGAGGCCGAGGAAACGTCCCCAGGCAGGAGAGGCAGCCACAGCCTCAGCTGTCCCTTCAGTACAGGAGAACTTGTGTGACAAGAGAAACAATCCAGACCATAGATCCAGAGAAGTGGGGCCAGCCCTCTGTGGTTCCTGGGAAAGTGGGACGAGGAGAGGTGGGGCTCTGATGTCCCAACAACCAGCCCAGCCAGTTGCAGGCTGTGTGGCCCTGGGCCAATTGCCTAGGCACTTTTAACTTCCTCCACGCACCACCTGGTAGGGACCAGGCAATAGTTCGGTTAGAGTCTCGGTTACTCATGTGGCAAGATTGCACCACTTCCCTAATCAGCAGAGAAGCTTTGCAAATCAAACCCACCCTGAGATACCACCTAACTCCAGAAAGAATGGCCCACATCACAAAGCTGCAGATGCTGGCGTGGATGTGGAGAGAAGGAAACACTTTTACACTGCTGGTGGGACTGCAGACTAATACAACCTTTTTGGAAGGAAGTATGAAGAATCCTCAAAGAACTTTAAATTAGACCTCCCACTTGATCCTGCGATCCCGTTACTGGGCATCTACCCAGAAGAAAAAAAAAAATCATTTTATCATAAGGACATTTGTACTAGACTGTTTATCGCAGCTCACTTTACAATTGCCGAGATGTGCGAACAGCCTAAACGCCCATTGATTGAGGAATGGATTAACAAGCTGTTCTTTCAGAGCCGGGACTCAAACCCTGCCAGCCCAGCCCTGAAGCCCCCAGTCACTCCCACACACTGCCCTTCCGGGTGGTCCTTTCCGCCCCAGGTGGTCCCAGCTGGGGGTCTGTCCACCAGCACAGGAGAATCCAGGCCCTCCAACCCCTTCCACTCCTTCCGTTCCAGACAGTTCCTCTGTTGTCTCTGGAGGTTTTCACCATGCGGCTGGGGTCTCCAGTGAATCTCCTGCTTTTCCCTGCCTCCCAGGCCTGCAAGTTTCCTGACCATTTTCACATCCTCATCTTATCTGGTCTTGCTGCAGGCATGGCAGGTGCTGTCCCTGTTTTCAAGCTGTGATAACTGAGGCTCAGGGACGCTGAGCTCTTTGCCCAGGGACACACAGCCCAAGACCAGCAGTGCTGCCTGGGGAGCTCAGCTCCAGTCCAGAGCTCTCCTGCATGCCCAGGCAGCCGGATGTCTGCTCAGATTGCAGCTCAGATGAAAGACACTGTCACTGGTTTCCAGACCCGTCGGGTCCAAGGGAGGGCCGTGACAGCTCAGAAGGGAAACCGCTCCAGGTTCAAAGTCAAGAAATACAGCTGCATCTCAGACAGGTGGGGCAGGCATCACTGGCTATCACTGTCAATCCGTGTCCCCCTCCAATTCCCCACTAGGCCATAGGCACAGTGCAGGCAGGACGGTTTCTAGGCTGTTCCTCTTCTATGGCACGTACCATAACTCAAGAGGAACTTGGTGTAGAATTAAATGAAAAAGCACTGATGCCTAGGCCCACATAATCCTTCACCTTTTTACTTCAAACTCATGAAAGTCTTCTAGACTTCTTTAGACATAGATTTTTAAAAATCATATTATAAATATTTCCTAGAACGTCTTCCTGAGAGCACTGTGACACAGATTTTCTCAAAAAACAGTTCCTCTGTTGTTTCTGGAAGTTTCCACCACACTGCTGATATCCGGCCTCCACATCCCGACACACGCGGGTCCGGCCGTGGTGCCACCATCATGCCTGGGCCTGATGGACAGTGGCCAGGACATGTCCAAACTTCAGGAACATCAAAAGGTTAAAAAAAGCTGGCAACTCGGATTTAATAGGAAAAGGTGGACGTGGCCTGGGGAATATTATACTTGGGAGGACAAAGGTTTGAGTGAGTGAATGAGAAGGTGATGAGTGAGGGGGAAGGTTAATTACCTCGAACCCAAGGGGGGACTTACTGATGGAGGAAATGATACAAAGTGGAGACTCACTGGGCTTCAACCAGATGTCCTCACCGGGGACTTTGGCAATGTCACATTTTTGGTTGTCACACCTTGGGGGTGGCTGCTGCTGGCATCTAGTGGGCGGAGGCTGGGGCTGCAGCTCGGCACCTACAAGGCACAGGACAGCACCCACCACGCAGAATGACCCTGCCTGAAACACTCTTAGTGCCAACTTTGGGAAACTGGCTTAAAACAGACGGGGAGAGCAGTCCCCTTAAGATGTCAATATTCAGATATTAATCACAGCCACACTTCCTCCAGGAAGCCTCCCGTGACTGCCCCTCCCCTGCCCACAGACTGGGCTCCCTTGTCACCCCTGGCCCCTGTTCCCTGTGTGTCCTCACACTGGACCTTCACTCCCGTCATTTCTCTGACTCCCTTGAGGGCAGAAAGCAAGTCTTATTTCCCTCCACGCTCCTGCCACTCGGCGACATACAGCCCCCTTCCCAACCAGCGTTTGTATCTTAGGTGACAATTCACTCACATTCCTATAATCTCGATTCACAATAACTCTGTGAGGTTGAAGTTCTTGTTCACATGTTAGAAACATGGATCCCAAGGCTCAGGACTGTGCTGTAACTTGCTCAGGGTCCCCAGGTAGAGCCAGCTCATCTAGATGGTGTCGGTGGCCCCGGGCTCAATGCTCAGCAACACCATTTGCTTGCTGGGTGATCCTTGGCAAGCTGCTTAACCTCTCTGAGGCCCAGCTTCTACAGCCAGACAATGCAAATGTCCATGCCCTCCCTACCAGGCTGTGTGAGGATTAGGAGAATTAGCGGGTACTGTGTCTGTTTGCCGAGGACTTACTATGTGGCATCTCACTGCTCATCCCTCCCTGGTCCCAGCAACTCTGAAAGGCAGCTGCTGTGCTGCACTGCACAGAGGCCGGTTTCACAGAGGGCCCGCACCTTCCCAGGACTGGAACCCAGGTGGGCCTGTCTCTAGTCTCCCTGCTTTCTGCCAGGAAGTGGGGCTGGGCTCATCCGCCCCTCAAACCGAGAGACTTCTGCAGGACACACA